GCCCTCCCCCTTGTGGGGCTCGCTGAGTGGCCCCGTTACGTGCAATTACCAAACTGTGAGGCAAGTCCGTGCTGCTGAGATGTCAGTGTGATGCTGGAGACTTGAAAGTGCCCAAGGAGGACTGTCAAAGACGCGGGGAGAGCTGGGGGCAGGAGGGGACTGGGGCCAGTTTATAGGGATGCTCCCCCGTGAGCACAAAGCTCCTCATCTGGGTGTTGCGAGGCTGCAGGGAGGGCAGAGGGGAGAGCTGGCTTCCTGTCCTGTGCTGCGGCGGCCGCCCTGATTGCAAGCCACCCTTTGGTGCCTGGCCTCGCGGGGGTGATGCATCTCACTCGGGAGCAGCACAGGCACCTCGCCAGTGCGTTGCAGTGTCCCGAGTTGTGTGGTCAGGCTCCGAGCAAGGGCCCTTCCCAGCCTGGTATGGGAAGGGGATGCGCTTGCTGCCTGCGCATCCTGCCCTTTAGGTCTATGTGCCAAACCCCTCTGGGATGGACAAGCGGTGACCCAGGTGAACTCCAAACTGTGAAGCTCTTGCTGGCAGGGTGTCCTAGCACTCTGCCTTCTCTGACAGCAGGATGAGAAGGTCTCTGACAGTGTTCAGGCTTTGGAGGTTTCTGCAGGGAACTTTGGGCACTCCTCAGAGAGCTTGCCCCAAAGCCCCTCCTCTGCCTCCCATCAGCAGAGGGGCAGGAGGAACAAGGGAGGCTTCCTGAGTTAACGTGGCTTGTATCTTCTTACCACCACGAGCGAGCTGAGGTCCTGTGCCCAGTCACTTGCTGCTTAACAGCATGGTGGAGGAGCCTGCGGTGAGCACAAGTGAGCTACGGGAAGCTTCTCCTTGAACCTGGGCTTGGGGGGCACTCCTTGGGGCGTCCCCTCTTGAAGAGAGCAGCCTATGCACCAGCCTTGCCCTCTGCCCAGCTGGCAGGAGCATGCACCACCACTGCCCTGTCCCAGGGCCCCTCCCCGCCTGCGCTGCAGCCCCAGCCGGGGAGGTGCGAGGGATCCAGCACAGGCTCCAGAGAGCAGCCACGGAAAGGGAATGAGGCCACCCCTGACAAGTGGGAGCCTGAAGCAAGGGCAGCTGTCAAGTCAGCCCAGCGCACGCTGCTTCAGTCGACCTGTTTACTGCGTAAATGTACGGGGAGAAAACCTTGTGTATGGAAGCTACAGAAAAAGCCTATTTTTGCTATAAATATACTATGTTTGACATGGATGTGTGCTTTATTTCTACCAGATGTTGAGAAGGGGATCCAAACTTGCGCAGCTGCTCTGAAGGCAGGACAACAGTGCCTGGCTGACCGCAGGCCCAAGATGCCTCCGGCTCCAGGAAACCCAACGTTCCCAGCTGCAGCAGGGTCCTGCGCCAGCAGCTCTGGTCCTAGGCCAGCGGCTGGTCACTGAGGCTGGACCCATCCTGTTCGGCTCAGCTATGTCGTTTTCCCACACTCAGATGAGCAAATCCTGCAGCACTGCATGTTCTGTAGGAAAAGAGGGGAGGTTTTCAAGGGGCTGCAGTGATTCGGCAAGCAAGAGGGTGCTGGAGGAAGGAGCTGTCTTCTCCCCTGCCAGGTACCTGGACAGGGGTGGGTGAGGTGCAGGTGCTGCTTCTACAGCTGAGGAAGAGGCATTTTGCTCGTGCTCCCAAGCAGGTGATCAGCGAGTAAGGCCAGAAACCAGGACCAGCTCTTTCCCCAGCCCTCCCTGCACCTGCCCTGCTTGTAGCATGGGCTGGAGGAACCTGCGCTGGGGCTGGGCTAGCTTGTACTGGGCCAAGCTGGTGCCCAGGCAGTAAAATGCCAGGACAACTGGTGCTGGGCAGTGACACCAATGCCAGGATGAGAGGTGCTGGGACAGCTGCTACCAGGCTTGGCTCGAGAGTACTGGGACAGGCACTGCTGTACCATCATCTAGCCCCAGCGAGGGCTGGGCACAGATCAGGGCAGCTGGGTGTCCTGCTCACTGTGGTTAACCGTAGCAGCCTGGCTCCCTGCCAGCCATTTTCCCAGCCTCTCCCCTGCCCCTGCGACAGCAGCTCTGTTCCCTCCAGGGCCGGGATGAGCCGCAGCACCAGTTCTGCGCAGGGCTCACCGCTCCGGAAGCAAGCAGTGCATCCGCAGCTCTGCACAGCCCGGGGCTGGCTCCCAGCATCCTCACCACCCACCATCGCTCTGTGCTGCTGGGGAGAAGGCAGGCTGCTGGCTGGAGGCACAGGGCTGCCCGACCCCAGGACACGTGAAGCAGGTTCCCTTTTGCCCCTCGTCTCTCTCAGTTTGTGCACAAGGAGCTGGCCTTGCAGGAGCCGGGGCAGCAGCTGCTTGCTCTGGCGTGCAGAACAAGCACCGGTCACAGCAGCAAGATGAAGGGCTCCATGGGCTGTCAACCCTGACCAGAAACAAGCACAGCTGCTGGGAAGGCCAGGGGAAACTGCCAGCCTCAGCTCACTGATGAGAAGAAAACATGCCCACATGATCTCAGAGCTAGAAAGCCAAAGATGAAGCAACCGTCTACTTCCGTCTGGGCAGAGCCAGCAAAGTTACTATCGCGTCCCAAGGAGGTCCTGGAGCAGGTAACTCAAGTACAGGGGATTATGTCACCGCAGAAGCCTGTAAGAGTCTTGTTGACCAGATACTTCAGGGTAGTTCTACGCCCACATCAGTAACTACAGCTTCACTTTTGAAACCCATGAACCCATCCTTCACCTTATCACCCCCTCCCGCTCCCCTCCTGTGCTCAGCCACGCTGTGAAGCTGTTGCACTCACGGAGGGCCAGGCTTTGAGGCTTCCTGGGAAGGGCAGTGCAGGCACTACAGCATTCAAGGTAAGCAGATGACTAAGCCATGAGTCTGGCAACTTCCATGCTTGGGACCCTGCCCTGGTGCCCGCTGTGCCCTTCATCCACTTGGACTAGGATATTCCTCTCTATTGCTCTGTGGCTGGAAGGAGCAGAACTACTGGCACATGGGGTACCTCTGCTCTACAGGAACCCTCCAGGATGTCCAGCACACCCGCGTGGGAGCCAGGCCACTGTGACCTTACCTGGAATTACTGAGGGGAGGACGCAAGCACACGTCCAAAGCAGTCACCGAGTTCCTTGCAACAGCCTGTAGCACAAAGGCATGCTCTCAGGCACAGCCAGGACTGCTTTTGTAACAGCCGAGCCGTCCCCAAGCCGTGATGCGGGAGGAATGGTGTGTCCCAGCCTGTAGAGAACAGCAAGCCATGCTGCAGCAATGGTTACTGTCACAGCTCCTGCAACCCACCCATTAAAAGTCAGGCCTATGGCTGCTGGTCTTACCACAGCGGTGGAGGGGGGAAAAAACCAGTACGTGGGAGCTGGAGACAGACTGTCCTGCCACGATAGGTCTGGAGCAGGCAGCATGCACCCCACCATCTCCCTGTTCCTCAGCCTGCCTTCCACATGCACCAGCTACTCCACCACAAAAGCCACGAGAAGCAGGGCAACAGACTTCCCCACTGTGCTTTCACACATGGTCCCATCACTGGTGGCACAGGAGAAGTGTTCATCAACCAGCAAGCATCTGGGGCAAAGCAGGTCCCTGGCCAGAAACGAAGCTGAGCAGAAAAGCTGAAGTTTTTGCACTAGCTTCAGGTAGTGTTGCTCTATAAGTAAGTACTCCATAGGCCAAAATGCTTATGGTGGCAACTCGGGAGAGCTACAAGGTCTCCAAGACTGCAAGAAAGGCTGACCTACTGCAGACAAGGTGCTCTGAACCCACAGAGCTGTTAGGACAGAACACAGCAGGACTTAGTGACTACTGCAGACAGCATCACACATATCAAAAGCAACCCTGAGCCAAGGCATCCAGGTCCCAGCCTGGCATCTATTCTGTGATTTGCTCTCCTTGGCAATGCTGAAGTGCCACAGGGCAATGCTCAAATTGGCATAAAAAGTATTAACAGCTACTGGGGGGAATGCATGGTCCCCTGTTCTATGTCAAGTTTTGAACACATCCACTCTGATCCAATCAACAACTGAAAAATCCACCCTTGGCACTTTCTTCCTCCAACAGCACCTACTGTTACGTGCTTGCAGGAAGCCCTAGGAAGTGCCCAAGGAACAGATGAGGGACGGACAGACAGTTCCGTTAAGGATGGATCTCCTCCGAATTCCCAGTTTATGGAGATTGGCTTAAACCTTGAAGCAGGAGCCTTAAGATCCCTTCCAGAGTTATTTGCATTAACTGATTTAACACTATTCTCTTTCAGTAATATTCTTTATTATTGAGTATCCAAGGCTTCGAATGCAAGCTTTCTGGCCGTACACATACTGTGCTATTTCATGAATAAGGCTTTCTCCTCGGTAGTTTTAAAAACACCTCTGACTTGCTCTCCACGTGTCTAACCAGGCCAGTGGAATCCATGCTCTACACTCCTTAACCCCCATTTCTCTCCAGTCTCCTTACCTGCCCCCAATCCAGCAAGACTGAGGCTCTGAACTGGTCTAACCTTCTGCAAGACCTCTCCTGGGCTGTGGTGCACAGAGCAGCCCTAGGGCAGAGGGGGACAACACGTTCTCCAGCCTCATCCCAGCTGTGAGCAGACAGCCCTGCTGGAATAACACGCTAGTTTGATTCAAGGGCTCCACCACATTCCTCACAAGCTGCTTCACTGGCTCAAACTGTATCTGCATTTCTACTTGCCTTATGTCAAGGAAGCATCCCTTAAGGTATCAGCTGAAGCCTTCTCCTGCCCAGAGAGGCCTCTTCCCCACTTGCACACCTCTGAGCAACCCCAAGGAATGACTCCCTCCTGGCTTCCACGCTGACATTCATGTCCCCTTTGATGGGCAGACCC